TTCTTCGTTTGTTTCCCACATCAGCACGCCGTGCTGTGTTCGTGTTCACCTGCACAGAGTGGCGCAAACATAAGGTTCGAATTATTCATTCAGTGGGTTATAACTTCACGTTGTGGAGTATATGCATGGAAGCTCGCCGACATACGTTTCACTGCCGAGCTTTGCGAACACACGCTTAGCTGGCGTATAGGCAGGAACACGGGCGAAGGGTAGGAAAGATTGTCCCCCCCCTCCCCCGCTAGACATTTTTTTTTCCGCATACACACGTACATACAAACGCACGCACGACCACACATAAAAAGGGCCGTTAACCATCCACCGAAAACAATAATTTGGTTACACCCCTTCCCAGCATGCTTGTTATACTATGAGACGCACCTCAAATGTACATAGCGAGGCTCTATAGAGGTCCTTTCAGACCACCTTTCTCGCTTTGACGTTGAAGTGGATCGTTATTAAACTCCGCCTTCACGGGTGTATATATATACGGTGGTGTATGTGTTTTTTACCCGCTTGTAAGGCGAATCACGTGAGACGCATGAGGCTGCAGTCATTGCCCACCTCTGCTTGTTGCCTTGGGACGCGAGTCGTCGGTGCATTCTGCACGGCGCAATCATTCCGTGCCTATCAGCACTTTGCTTGTGCCAAGTGTCGAAGGTCACTAGACCCGGCGGCGCAGTAAGATCGCACTTCGCGGCGATTGTTTATCGCCGCTCGTGAGACGACGCTGCGGAGCATTCGGGAACCACACGCTCTGACAGGGGTACAAAAGCATAAAAAAGCAACTTTTTTTTTTTCACATTAGTAAATTGTTTTTTTTTTCACAATACCATACCACACGATTGCGGCGAGAAGACACCTGGTATGCGAAAGGGCGCGCAAACAGAAAATGCCGGTGGCGGCGCCACCTTGAAGTGGTCACACCAAAAGCCGTGAAATCATGAATTTTTTGACGGCATCCACTGGAGCCAACGTATTTCTTCAGTGGGTAAAAATGAAGTACATAGTTTCATGATAAGGCGAAAGACATTGCATACGAGGTTTCACAAAGTCTCGCTAGGCTCATGTCGCCAAAATACGATGAAAAAAAAAATGAACCCGAAGTGTCATCTGCAGAGCATTCAGCGCGAAATTTCAAAAAGAAACATTGACCTTGATTGCCGCTTCTAGTAATGAACCTATGACGATGAAATTAACGACTATCTAGTTATCATCGTATACATTATCGATCCAATGAACCGTTTCACTTTAGTGTTTCTTTAAATACTCGCATTCCCTCCGGAGCCGGCATTGTTTTGGACGCTGCTTGGACGTGGTATTTTTGTCTCGCGCAAAAATCTTTCCAGAAGGCACACCCCACAAAAAGAAATTGTCCCCGTATCTGCATGTTACACTGGAAATGCCATCGAAAGAAAATAGTCTTGCGTCCGGAGAGAGTGAACCAAACGTTTATTTGATGTTCTGGGCAAGAAAATCGGTGAATGGTATTCTGGAGGCGCTGTGTTAGAGTGCCTCGATCGTGCAGCGGAGGCGAACGAGCGCATCAAGTCACGTCACACGTGGGACACGAGCGCTATCTGACAGTTATCTTGGAAAACGAAGCGCGCGGCGTGCGCGCCCGTCTCGGAGGCGATAAGCTGTAGAATGCAAGGCGACGAATAGCTGCCACCACCGTGTCGTCTTAGCAAAGCGTTGGAAACACTTGCCTTGTCGTGCAAGCGTTGCATCGTCAGCGCAGCGTAATAAGCGCTGCGGTCCTTAGAATTACTTATGTACGCCTTTTCTAGTAAAAAAAAACACACACACAGAGAATTTTGACATGTTGTTATGGTGCCTCGGATATGCGCAATAATCGCTTTTTAGTTGACAATTGCTTAAGTATGAACGCTAAATCTTGATCAATATCGGTGGGCGCTGCGGAAGGGGTCGGCCGTTTGGTGCCGTATGAGGTATCGTTGAGAGCGGACAAACATACAAATGTACAGACAGACAGACAGACAGACAGACAGACAGACAGACAGACAGACAGACAGACCATCTTTTTTGCGTCGAAGGTCCCCAAGAAAGACTATCGTCTTTAAAAGACGCGCAATGAGTTCTTTGTTTTCGTTGCACAGTCCGAGAAGGGAACAGCTGTCAGGTACACGACGGCTTGGCTTGACATGGCTGCGCGCGAGGTGCGATGTAAGCGCACATAACTGCGTGTTTTTGGTGCACGCAGATATCCTACTTCACGATAGGGGCAATTCTTCGTCACAGAGAGGCAAGCAACAAGACCTTTTAGCAGTGACAGTTTACCGTTCGGTAAACCTCGTGCTCTGCAGGTCGGGTTTCCTTTCTTCTTTTTTTTTTTCAAACCTGCGAGACCATTATCAACCACATTTACCATATCATCACCTACCGTACGCAATGAGCAACTTGCGCGGCTGGAAAGCCAGAGAAAACCTGCGTGCCAAGCACGACGGCATTACCGTGCACCACGAACCTGCACTGCTAAAGCACTAGTCTACATGGATGCCAAGGTTGCGTAAGTTCGTTCAGGAATCATTCCCGGAGCACGTGAGAAAGCGGTGAACTTCTCAAGGGGTTGCATGGCACTCGACTTGTCGACGGAACTGACAACCTTTGGTAATATGTCATAGTCTTCGTATTGTCCCTACCATATAGGCGACACGCCGTGCTTGTCGACGCTTTCGACGGAAGCGTTTCAATCCGGAACGCGCCATCCGTCTGCGTGTCAACCGAGCGACGAGTGGTTGTATCCAGTGGCGGACAGCCAAAACGCGCGCTTCGCTTGATTTAACGGTTCCAGAAACAGCTCGGGAGTTTGCGTAATCAGCGCGCAATAAGTGGTTGCTCAGTCCAACGACGGAACACAATTAACGCGGATTCGTTTTAGAGGGAAACGTCAGGCGCGCGTGGAAGTTTTTTGTACACACACATATACCTCCTCGCGCAAGGCGCGCCGTCAAGTTTTAACGAAGCGGACGCGCATTCCCTCGGCATGTATTGGCTCTCGCCGAGTAATTCCCGGCGCGCGCCGCTGGGACTTCCCGGGAGCTGCTCCGTCACCGCTTGTCACCGGAGGCTTCGTACGCACACACAAACACACAACGCGCGCGCACGTTTATGAGAAAGTGAGAAAAAGAGAAGAACCCTTTACGTCGAACTCCCTTTCTCCGGCGTCGTTTATACGCAACGGCGCGGCGATCCGAGATGCAGTCGGTCCGTCGAGGACGCCAGCCAGCAGTGCGCGCGACTTTTCGCGGTCAACCTCGACCTCGCGGTGGACCGGTTGTGTTTGTGTGTGCGCGATCGGCGCTGTCACGCCGTTGTACGGAAACCGGCTACTGCCCCGCGCGTCGCGGCCTTGTCGACGCATGTGTTCTCGTGGATGTGCGTAGCGGGGCGGGAGCGCGCCGACCACGACTGATGCCCAAGGAAGCCAACATGCGTAAAATCCACTTCGTGATATACGTGCGCCACGGCATGCGCAAGCGTAAGTCTTCTTTTTCCGTCGTTGAAGTCGATTGATTGATTGATTTGTGGGGTTTAACGTCCCAAAACCACCGTATGATTACGAGAGACGCCGTAGTAGAGGGCTCCGGAAATTTCGACCACCTGGGGTTCTTTAACGTGCACCCAAATCTGAGCACACGGGCCTACAGCATTTTCGCCTTTATCGAAAATACAGCCGACACAGCCGGGATTTGATCCCGCGACCTGTGGGTCAGCAGCCGAGTACCTTAGCCACTAAACCACCACAGCGGGGCTCCGTAGTTGAAGTCACGGTGTTGCGTTTGTTGAAATGTAATTGTTCGGGTTTTACGACAGTGAACTACTATATAAATATGAGGAACCCCGCCGTGGAAGGCTCCGAAAGTTTTGGCAAAGCGGTGTTCTTAACGTGCACCTAAAACTAAGTACACGGGTTTCTATCATTTCGCTTCCAACGAACTGAGCCTACCACACCCGGGATTTGATCCCGAGTTCCCAATCTTCGGATGAGCACCGCAACTAATTGCGTTATTTGTACGTTTGTATATGTGATCTTCGAGTGGCGCTAGTCAGCGGAACCTACGTGGGACGCATTTCCGATATACGCTACCTCCCGAGTCGTTTGTTTGTCATCAATACAACAATGTAGAACTGCAGCTAATCGACATCCGGACACGTGGCCGGGACGAGTTTTTCCATCACCGGAAATGAATACTGCTGCAAATTCACATCATGCGCGACTTCCAATAGGCTTGGCGAAGCAGAGAGTCTGCATAGGTCTCAGCTTTACTTGTCAAGCCTCCGATAAGTCACACTTAAAGGATGGCCTCAAAATAAGCTGAAGATGAATAACGTGAAACAACTGACTGCTCAGAAGGTGCAGTGCACTTCGTGCTTCTCAAACTTGAGAGCTTTGCCACCGACAATTTAAACCTTTTATACGAATGCCGGAATGGCATCTCGGGTTTATACACGAAGAAAATGCATTCAGTAAATTCTAATGTATAGCAAGTAAGCTCGCGCATGTTTTCGTGCAACAGGAAACTTCGTCCTATGACTTCTCTGTCTGACTAAACCTCAAAGTGCGCGGCCATTTTTTTAAGACAAAAAGACATGTGGCCAATGAAGGCTTGAGGTAACAACCTTCCCTGCTTGATCTCGCACATTCCTTTCGGTGCGTACTCAGTACACGCGCTTTCAAAAAGTGCGTGCCAAGTCAGGGAAGACGTGCGCGAGTGTTCGGTTGCCAGAAGCCATGCATCCAAGGGCAGCCTTCAAGGTCAGGATGCAAACCGAAAGTAACTCGGTGGTAACGCGCGGCCCTCACCGAGGTAAACGAGCAGCACCGAGGGTATAAGGAGCGATATAAAGTATGAGCACGATTCCGGCGCCTGGTACGTACACGTCGTCTTCGTCGGAGGACGACGTGGTGTGTATTTGTTCGCTCAGTAATGGCGCTCACAAAAGGTATATCCTCACATGCGCTTCTCTCTTGCCTGCAGCGGACATACTAAGCGTGATGGAGAACTACCGGCAGACGACGCTGAGTCGGCTGACGGCATGGTGCCTATGGTTCGGCCACTTCATTCTACATCCGACCAGCGCCTGGAGATCGAGCACGCTGTGGCACAAAGTGCAGCTGTTCTTCTGCTACATCCTCAGCTGTAAGTATCGACTACATTAAACAAGACAGCCTGGGCTGTTAAAAGTGTGTTTTCTTGTATAAACAACGGCAGGTATAGACCCCAAAATGGCGGTACTAACACCAATCCGTAATATAGCTGTACGTGGCACTATATGTCAGCACAATCAGGGCTAAGGGTGCAGCTGGGCGCACTCATCGACCTTGAAAGCGCACATAGATGGGTAGCGTACGCAGGTTTAACAAATTTTACTGAGTACAAAACAAATAAAAACGCCCAAGTGCGCTAGAAAGTCTGCGCAGTGGCTTAGGAATGTAATCACGCTAGGTTAACGATGAAATCCTCGAATTACGTGTGATAGCCAACACTTTGCAGCTGCCAGAAGCGCAAAAAAAGCTGAATGGATGTCCATACGAGTGCGTCGTCAACAATTTTCGGCGAAGTTGCAGCGAAGGAAAGTCAAAAAAGCAGTCCGTTGGTGGCATCAAAACGAGGCTATAGAGTTAGCACTGCAGCATTGCTCGTTTTTAATTTTTTCAATTTAATTTTTAACGCAACGTTTGTAATTTGCCGCCGTGGTCTATTTTTTGGCAGCTATATTTGTGGGCTACCACGAGAAGAAGACGCTCCTCGACTGGGTCAGGAGCCGCGTCAAAAATTACCCCGTGCCGGACAACTTCTCATCGGGCTGGAAGGACGGCATCCTGCTGTGCGCGCTGCTCGATTCTATGTACCCGGGTTCGTGTCCTCGCTACGACCTGCTAAACGCAGACAACTGCCTCAGCAACGCACAGCTGGCCTTCTTTCTCCTGGAGAAACATACACCCATTAGACCGGTGAGCTGTCATCACTATAGACTGCATGGCCTTCAGAGGGCAGGCCGCACTCACGGCTCCTCGATTAACAAAGCAATACTATTGAACTCTCCCTTTAGACAGGCCTTCCGCTAGAGTCACTCGGTTTCTCGAGTTGCGTATCGCAATACGCTTGGAGCCGGTGTGATGTTTACATCCGTTTTGCTGTACGTATCTGCAAACATAATTTCCCGAGTCTTGTCGCGACAGCAGCAAGCGTAATGAATGCCAGGAAGATTCAGGCAACACCAGCATGTGTCCTTGAGGCATGCAAGCTATTTCACATAGACGGCTTATAAATCAAAGCTACTTGTAAGTATACTGCTACAATGCTCCCGGAACACTTTGTACAGGATTGTGTACTTGTTGATAATGAGCTGTATGAATGGACAGTGTTAAAGTAAGCACTTGGTTCGTATACCCTAAGGTGACAAATTTGATCATGCTTAAACAGTTTCGCACTAGCTCATGGAATATGTTTCTCTCCTCTCGACAGGAAATCACCGCGGAGGAGCTTGCTGAAGGCAGTCCGAGCATCGAAAAGGCTGTGCGAGCCATTGTTTCTCGGCTGAAGGTGATCTCCGCCAAGGCCCAGCTGCAGCAGGCTCTGGGGAAGCGACCCTCCATAAAAGATGACGGCGGCGACGACTCTAGCAGCCTGGTGGCACGGAAGAATTGCTTCGCCAAGGGCATGGGCCTCATCCTGGCTGTGAGGGGACGCAAGGCCAGCTTCAACGTGTTCACGAAGTCCACGAACAACTTCTGCATCGTTGTCGAGATTCGCGGACCCGACAACACAGTCTGCAAGGAAATCATCACTAACAAATCACCCCGACGTAAGGTCACCACGAGCAGCCGAGAAGCCGACAAGTGTGCGCCCGATGGAGCTGGTCAGGACGACAAGAAAATCCTGATAGAGTACGACATCCAGCCTGGTATGGTAGCCGTCAAGTACACGCCCCTGCTAAAAGGCAAGCACCAGTTGAGCATCATCTGGCACGGACAGCACCTAGCCGGAAGTCCGTTCACGGTGAACGTGGACGACTCTGCCGACTACACGGACGACTTGCTCCTCCAGCGGCAGGACTCGGCTGATTCGCAGAGCTCCGACAAAGAGTACCCCGCTCCTGCGAGCCCGACCTCAGCAGCGCAGCTTAAAGGAAGGATCAAAAGGCGCCGCGTCCTCCGTAGAATTGTCAACGTCAACGGCCAGGACATCGTGATCGAAGGAGACGACAAGGACAAGCTCTTCGAAGTCCTGCGGTCCTTGTCGTCCAACGTGTTCAGGCAGAATGGAGGGGACTATAGCTCGGGACGAGAGAAGCGCACTATTACGTCAGCCGATGGTACGCGAGTAGTCAAGCCTTTCTTTTCGCCCATGAGCAGTCCGGAGTCATCTCCCGACACCTACAGCGGTGTGGACTACGGGAGCAAGTCCCTGTGGGAGCGTTCTAAGCAAGTTCCTTCTAACCTCGCTATGCCGGCGATCGTCGTCTCCTCGTGTAGTCCGCCTGCCAGTGAAGAGCACACTCCGGAGGTTGCCGGCGATGCTTCAGCCGAACGGCGTTGTGCAGGTGCACTCGGCGGAAAAGCATCCCCGAACGTTTCGCCGAGTGGAAGAGCATCTCCGTGTGGGACAGTGTCCTCGAGCGGAACAATCACACCGAGCGGAAGAGTATCCCCGACTGGGACAATTACTCCTAGCGGGAGGGTGTCTCCCTGTGGAAGGACTTCCCCGAGCGCATTTCCCGAAGTCTGTGAGTTGGACGAGCTTTCTTCCGCTACGTTAAACTCTTCAAGCGGAGGAAGCAGTGCTGCGCGTGCACTCTTTGTGAGCGACATGTTGCATCAAGAGACAGCGGTATCCTACACTGAGGCATCACACGAGCTACAGACGGCCGCACATTTGTCCTCATTGAGCGAAGCCGGTGATGTAACTTTCGTAGGAGCTGAGTCACCTGTGATGAGCGACGACCTTCCGGACTGCTCAGGCCACAAGCAGCTGGAAAGGACCTTATCAATCATATCAGAAGAGAGCGACAGGCCACCGTCCGATCAGTTGGAGCCGTCGGAATCGGCAGATGTCGCGGACAATCTCGACACCCCGCCTTCGCGTGAATACAACGTTGTCGAAGCAGACGATGTCCCCGAGCCTAGTCAGCAGCAGCCTGATGAGTCTGCCTTCGGGAGCCGTCCCGTTCCATCGGAAAGACTAAGCCGGATGTCTGTTCTCGAAAGAGCGAGATCACTCGAAAGTGCGTTTCCGCAGCAGTCTCGCATACAGAGGCACTTATCGCAGTACGACGTGTCGTCATCTCAGCAAGCTCCGTTGTCGAAACTAGACGAGTTATACCTGGACACAGTCAAGCTGAAGCAATTCTTCACTGAAAACTTCAAGAAGACAATACAGACAAGCAGCACTACGCACACCTTTACCTCGTCTGGCGATCGTGATGAGTTCTTGTCGGTGAGGGACATGGTCAAAGTGTGGGAACATCGGCAAAGCCTGAGCCCGTGTGGTAGCCCTGAGCAGGTCAGCCTACGCGGCGATGCCAGCAACAGTCGACAGGGCGACAGAAGGTTCAGAGTAACACAGGTTGCAGCTTCCAGTAAGGAGAACGAGCCGGATTTAGTCAAAGACGCTATTCTTCCGCAAACCGTGCGTCGTCAGGCATCTGTGGACAGTGGCGTTGGGTCCAGCGGTCAGTCGTCAGAGGACAAAGGTACGCGGGGGATAGATAGGTCGCCATCGTCGTCATGTTGACTCTGTTGTCCCACGGTGCAATGTGCAGTGACATAATGTTCGTGTACCTGTGTGTTCTATGTGCTGGTACTGAAGTTTTCTTGTGCCAACGTTGTAACTGTCGTCTCGGTGTCTTTTCGTCTGTGTTCGCTAAGCAGAGAGAACTCCCGCATCATTGACCGGGACTGTGCATTTATCTAAGTCAAGAAGAGAAGACAAATGAGACCACAACGTCGCTTACCGCCCGTAGCTGTGTGATTGTCCGCCACTTCCTGGCAAGGTACGTTTGCTATTCTGTCCTGTGATAGTTCTGTTCTGTCAGGTTGGTTGTATTGTTGAGCTTTGTTAATTGTTTTGTTATGTTCATTGGATTAAGTATACAGACATACCTGTTGGATAACTATATACTCTGTCAAAGTGGTTGTAAAGGAGCCCTGCATTACGGCATTAAGCATTTGCCCGAAGAGCATGGTTAGCGTGATCAAAGTTCAGTTACTCGGTGATTAGTTTGTACTTTGTCTCATAATGAAGGCGCGTGGCTTACTGTGTATGTTTCTTCGACGCAATCGCTACAACTGGGCGAATTAGTGGGAGAGATTACACGTAGTGGTTGGATCACTTGGGCGCGTACGCATATTCAGGACTCGTGCGTACACAGCCCTTCGTGATGTGGCAATGCCAGCAGCAAACGGCTCAATGTTCGCCGTATGACAACGTCAGGCGATGACGCACCCACTGATTACCTTGCCTGGATGCGCTGTTATGAGCGGCGTCCCCGAAGTCGTCAATGTGACGAATACCGCCAGCACGCAGCTCGAGAAGGAAGACTACAATCCCTTCGTAATGATTGAGGAAGGGCCCTCCAGACGTTTTCAGCACATCGAGCGCGATCGCTCTTGATTACGTTAACGACGTTCCTCGCGACTGAACCGCTTAGGCTCGCGCGTACTTACGCAGACCTCCTGCACCACTGATGTCACTGGGGCCTGTCTGACGTCCGCAGTAGTGTGTCGCAACCCTCTAGCAAGACCTTCACACGTGTTCAAATAGGAGGCGCTAAATAAGCGCTTGTAGCGCAATACGTACATAACAATAGTATACTGAGGCACCTAGCTGCGCTGATCTGCCTATGTGTAGTAGTCACAACAACCTACATTGATTATTAGGAAGCATGTATGTAAAATATTCAATACCGAATGAAAACGAATCCGTCTGAGCGAGAATCAAACATTGTGAGCACCTCTGTCGGGTAGACACAAATAAATGGCATATGATTGTCGTTGCTATAACGACGGGTCAACTTGCTCTGTTTTGTTGCCATCTTAGCGAATTCACAATAGTGAGCCGAATATACACTCAAATATAACTCGCTCACTTTGTGACATAGCAACAGAAAACGTACCAACCAACTGAAGGGGAGAATAACCTAGAAGTATCACAGTGCTGCAAATGACCGATAGCCTTACTAACTACATGACAAGTGAAGCTGATTAATCGCACAGTTTGAATGTCATAGTACTTATCTCCAAAGTTACGACCATATAGGGCGCTGTCGCCTATACTTCAGCGCGCCCATGCGTTCATTATGCAAGGTTGCAGCATGGATTCTATTACCGCTTTAGGGTATGGAAAAAAAATACTGGCTCCGACTTACCGATGCGTTGCTTGTTTCACTTGTGCAGGGACGACCAGATCAAGTGATCAAGCGCTGTCCAACAAGACGCAGCGGCAGCGCAGATGCAACACCCCGGACTCTCTTCGGTTTCCCGACGATCACCGCGGCAACACGCGTCGTCCACCGACTGATCTGGACAGATCACTGGTCGAGTGCGGCTTCGTCGAGGGAAGTTCTGCCGTACGTTGCGGCATCAACAGCACCGGTAGCAGCACTGCACATTTCACGATGAGACCAGTCAGCCCGACTCTAGTCTCCATTCGAAAGCGAGACTCCCCTCTATGTAACTCTCGCAACAACAGCCTACGACAACGCGAGTCTTCCCAGAGGTATTCGTACGACTTCTGGTTGGGCTACTGCAGCACCGAAGAAGAGGGGTGCAGCCGCGGCACCGAGGGAGCCGACCGAGCACGTCAGCCGAGGAAGCGTCCTGCGATGGCAGCAAGACGTCGGTCGGATGAAGACGTTTCCGAAGAAGAAGACGATGTAGAATCCGAAGAAGGCAGTTGCGACTGTTCTTCGTGCGAGGATGGTTCCGAATTCATTGACGACGCGTTGCACGACTGTTCCCTGATCCTGGACTCCTACGCCTCGTTCGAGCTTGTCAAGTCTTCGAGCGATGCGGTGGGTGGCCTCTACTACAACTTCAGAGAGCGAGACGACGAGCTGTTCGCCGAGCCTACTTCTCGACCCGACAAGTGCATGGCTTCCGGCGCACAGCTCTACTTCGGACAGGTCGGCGCCGAAAACCACTTCCAGGTTCGTGTCGTTTACCTGGCAGTGGAATCGCGAAAATGCATGCGACGATTTAGTGCGTAAATACAGTTTTAAGCGCGCTCTAACGTACGTAATTATTCACTCAGTACTACGTTAGTCCCGACTATCTGCAGCCATGACGCGACGTCGACGGTCCCACGGCAACTCACGACGGAATATTGATAAGTTGCCCGGGCGTATCAGCACTTCAATCTGTGTTTTACGATGTTTAGCTTTATCTACTGAAAAAGGGCTTGCCAATCGAAGGCGCGTCGGTAGAGTCGTGGAAAGTCTTCACAAAATAAAAGCAAAACTCTGGAACTAAGTGTGGTGCGCAGGACTGTGCGCACCAAGGTTACGTACGCAGCACCAGGAAGTGCCCCGCGTTGTATCAGCTCACGCTTAAGCCAGTCGGGGTGTTGGTGGTATATGACGTCAAAAACCCGCCGGGCGTGTGCATATAACTGCTACCGCAATAAAATGGAAACGGAGAAAGTGATCGCAAGTGACGCCGTCGAGTGGATACAGGACAATTTCCAAATGCGAACCGAAACAAACCTGTACCGGGTGCACGCGCTCGTCTGCAGGAATCGATATCGCTACTATTCCCGAAAACGGCTGTCAGCGCGTGTATTTATATCGTCGTCGTTCTATATTTGCAGGTCTCCACGAAGGATGCCGGGAAGGGACCCCTCTCGGCCAGTGTGCTCGGTCCCAACGCCGACTCCGTCACAAGCGTTTCGGTCACCTACTGCGGCAAGGACAAGTATACAGTCATGTACAAAGTGATCGAGCCGGGATACTATATCATCCACATCAAGTGGGCCGAGTGGCCCATACCGGACAGTCCAGTGATATGCGAAGTGACTGCGTGAGCCCACGGCGCACCGGACGCTCTCGGGACAGCTAAGACAGGCAGCGAGCACTGGTCAATGCCGCAGTAATTCTTCGACAACTTCTTTGCAAGAACGTGTGTGCGCACCCCGTTTCGGTCTACTACGTTCCCCTGTGCTGCAAAATGGTTGCGTGTGCAATGTACAGAAACTCACGATCACGAAACTCTAATTTATTGCGAGTCACTCGCACACATCACTTCACATCCATCATTAATAAATGAATAATGCATTCAAAATGTTTCCGATGCATACTGACTGGATTATTTCAAAGTTCCTGGTGTCGCTGTGAAGCTTGTTGTGGCATGGCATAACAGAGAATATACAACAGGAAAGTTAGGGGTAGATTCTGGGCTCGAGCGCGTTATTAATATGGTAGGTGGAATTTATAATGTAATGATAAATGAACGGAAAAATTTATCATGATATATGAGATAAAATCAAACTGGGTTTCGTTTACAGAATCACACAAAATGCGAATTTGAACCAATAGATGAAAGTTTCAGCGGGATCGAAGTTCTTACTTCCTGCTCGTCATTGGCGAGGGAGAATGTGAGTCATAAGGGGCTGGAAAAGACAGGTGAGGAAATAAGAGCCTAGCCAGGCCAGGGTTGCAGCAAGGTTCGCAACAGTTCTGTCATGACCCAGCCTTGGGCGACTTATTGCAAGGTGCGACAATTTTTTTTTAGGGGTGAAGCTCCTTAAGGCGTGGGTCTGTACGTCCTCTGAGATATGTAGCTGTAGTAGTCAATAGCCAGGCTGAACCAGCTCTAGTTTATTTCTTGCAGTGTTCACTAGATGGCGGTAGTTGATGCGAGATGTTATAAAACTAGATGGCGGTACTTAGAACGTTCACTAGATGGCGTTACTTGTAGTTGAATAGATGCGAGATGTTATAAAACTAGATGGCGGCACCTGTCGTTGATAATGAAAGATGCGAGATGTTATAATCGGAATGATATCACATATGGCGCGAGTCATTGATGGAAGGCAATCGTTCGCTTTAGTGCGGTGACATATGCTAGGGAGAGCGTTGTAATAAAATTCGTTCGCTGTTGGCGCACCGTGAACCTGCGCAACACCGCTACCAAGATCCTGCCGTACGAGATCCGGAGGCCCGAGCTGCACGGCATACACACACAGCGTTTCTTACGTCTTTAAATGATGATCGACTGAGAAAATTACACGAAAAATTCATAGTTTACCGATGATTCCCTACGGAGCTTCACCCACTCATCATCATTCATCCCCTAGATAATGCTGTGATTTTTTTTTTTCGGGCGGGGGTTCTGTCATTTTCAATGTATGTTCTTGCGTGTGTTTTCGCAGGCAAAACAGAAGAATTTTCGGGAAGGGCTCTCTCAGACTGCCATAGCAAAACTGTTCACAATCATCAAAATTAGGTCTGAATAACCAATTGTGCGTAGCAATCGATTTCTTTCAATGACCTAAAACAATGGAAGACGCCTGTTTGGGGAGTCGGGGCATATAGTTAAAGGTGGAAACCCCCCGAAAAGTTTCAATTTCGTTTGTGCATATATGAACGTACACATACAAACGTACGCACGAACGTACATAAAGCATTATTTAACCCCCCCCCCCCCCCCCCCCCGAAAATATCTGGCTGCGACACGTCCTTGATACGACATGAGGTCAGGGCAGGTAAGTGCAGTCGAGTGTCATTTTGTGCTCTGTACCGGAGGAGAAGAAATTTTCCCGAGAGAAAGAGGAGGGCTGCGAGTAGGGGGGGCAGGGCCGACGCCGCAATGAACCAGAAACAATAGATCACTTTTTTATCACATGCCGCCGCTTCGCCTCACTGCGCCGAATAATTCTTGAAAGACCGATTGGTATGCTTGGATTGCCAGTCAATACATCCACCCTATTATCGTTTGGAGCCAGTCAGTTGGGTGTGGGCCGCAGTGCTATTCTGTCAGCGCTACATAAATTCATTCAGGCAACCGGAAGGATACGCTGCTAGTGGTACTGCCAGATATATCCAATTCTTTCTCCCCCTTCCTCATTCTTGTTAATTTGTTTTATATATTCTGGTTTATCGCATTCTTCTAAAATTTTTCACGTTTTTTCAAAGGAACATTATTATTGTTCCTATCGTATTTCTCTTTATTTTTTTGCAAGCTTTGTAAAAAATGATCTATTATGAGGTACAGTGTGGCCAATCCCCCATGTGGGTATGAGCCAAGATCTCTTAAGAGACAAGACAAGACTTGTTGGCCAAGTCTGGCTATGCCGATAGTGGTGCAGTAACGCAGAAGGAAATCTCCACAGCAGAACTGTTATGGTCGAGGTTCGCCGGGTGTCACCATCATGCTCGCGCTCTCCTCCTTTCTCTCCTGCATTTCTCCCAAAACACGAGCGCCGCTTTCTGCTGCGGGGGATGCTCTGACTGGCGACAGAACGAGTTCAGAGAGAGAAAAAAACAAAGAGATAGACAGAAATTCTTGGCGAGGCGAGATTCTTACTCGCGTACCCACAGTCCGAAGGCGAGCTTGTTAACTACTCTGGCTATCCAGGCACGCTACAGAGAGAGATATAACTATTTAGTAAAATCACCGGAGATGTTAGCCTGGTTTATCACCTGGCTTTCTAATCCTGACGTACACACGCTTTACATATAGCCCCATATGCTATACTATAGAATAGCAAGAGGTTGCGAAGAAGAATCGAGGATAAGGACGAGTGAAAGAAGTGGACAGAGTGAAACAAAGCATAGGAAGAGAGAAAAAAAAGTTGAGAAATAAAAAGAAATATGACATAAGAAGAAAGACTGAGTGAGAAAGGGAAAGAAACAAACAGAAATCAACAGACAGAAAAAAGAAGAAAAGGCAGCAAGCATAGGCATCATATCATAGGCGTGCATGGTACAGTACAACGGGTTGGAAAGAGGGAGGTGAGAGAACAAACGCCTAGCCAAGTCAGTACCAGCTATCCGTGTTCACCAGCTCTGCTGTGACCTATAACCTTACGCTACTTGGTGCCAGCGCAACATATCGCTCAATAAAAAAAATAAACACAGTTTCCCTCCCTCCCCACGTTTCGCATTGCGCCAATTCTCAAGGTACGTGGGTTTTGTCGAACTTTTTTCGTGTGTGTTTGTGTGTGTGGGAGGGGGGGGGGTTAAACCATACTTTATTTATGTTCATGCGTGAGTTTGTATGACGTATGGGCACGTGTTGCATACATAATCTAAATTGAAAATATCCCAAAAATTTCGCCCCCGCTGTGGAGTCTTGTGAAGCGTCGAGGTCCCCCAGTGCGATAGCCAAGCAGCAGTACACCCCAAAAGGTGCAGCTTTCAGCGCTCTTTCCTTGACACTGCTGCGCTGTGCAAATACGTCGATTTTCAAATCACAAACTAGCCCAAGCATCCGTCTTATTCTTACCAACGCCACTCAGCAGCAGGTGATCACTGAGCGGCAGCGTGCGTAGTATGGCCACGGCTCGCACACCATTGTAGCTGCGGGGCGATATTCTCGAAGACTCATCGATGTATTGTCGATCAGAATCAGTCGGCTTCATTCGGTAGTGCGATCTATCTCGCGGTCCGCCTCTCTCACGCCGCCAAGAATGCCCCTGTCCGCCATTTTACGTAGTCATTCCTATCCGCGAGCAACCGATATACAGTGATGACAGCATGGCGACTGCGTGCAGCAAGCCAACGGCCATATGGGCGAAAACAATCGGATAAGTAAAATATACACCTTCTTGAGGTCACATCGGCAGAGATTTTTAAAAGTCATTTTCACGTATCATTCCCTTTTTTTATGGCCTTCGTAATCAGTTCGCACGACTCTCGAGCCGGTTATCATGACGTCTGCCACTAGAAGTGGACAGGGCTGGTAACCCTGCTTTTAAGTTTTATATTTGGTCGCAGCAAGTGGCCAAACCGTTCCGGACGCTGTCAAATTCAGCCATATCGTTTTCAGCCATATTTTAGGTTCTGACCACGTGATTTTGGTCATACCCACTGTGGTCAGAACTGCCTTCACAAGGTGACGACAGGCTTTCTCTGTGGCTCAAATAGCCAGCGTGGCGGCACCTGACGATCTGTGACGGAACCTCAACTTTCTGAGAAGGTACACTAACTGCGAACAGAGGGCGGATATGACGCACGAACGTCCTCCCCGTGCCGCTTTCACCGGATGAACTCTTGATCGTCGAATTAGCTTATATCGGACCAAAGTGCTGCCCCAAACGATAGGAACTGTTAAATGTTCGCGACCTCATTTCTTGCCGCAATGCGAAGGGTAGTGATGTCAGCCGATCTACGTGTATCAACGACGCCCTACGTAATCCTGCGCGTGCTGCATAAAGCAGCGCGAACTCGAATTGACGTGTGAACTGCCAAGCCTGTCTGACGGACTTGCGAGTAGCGAGGACCATCGCGGCTGCGCGGGACCGAATGTTCACCGTAGCAATGGCTTGCAACCGTATGACGTCCTCGTCAATACTTGAGCTGTAAGCACCATGGTAGTTGCTTCTTCGACGGAACAAGAGCACTTAACTTCCCATTAAGTAGCACTTGTGCCACATCTATGGCCAGACTAAAGTGCGCAATTCACTGCACTCTGATGTTGCAGGTTCCATCAACGCGATCGCAACAATAGGGTAATCGAAACGAATACATACGCTTTTCGCAACGTCAAATTGCGAAAATTCTTTGAATAACAATAACGTCGTTCGGCGTGGTACCGGTAAAGTCCGACAGAAGTTAGTAGAGAGGCGTGGACTGCTGTCGTAACTGCGCGTTTGATTGCACTAACCATTTTCACTTCGCTGGTGGAGCTCGAGTGTGTTCGCGGCATGCGGCGTTCCGTAATATACACTGTAAATGGGACACACGCAATGCACAAAAAAAAAAACAACTGATGCTTTTATGTTGAGCTCGCTGAAGGATATCATACAGTAAATACAATCAAAGTGACTTACAAGCGTGAAAAAATATCAACTCACGAGGGGACGTGGAGTGCAACTCGCTGCTCGTGAGTTCACAGTTGATAGTTCATCGTGGCTCTCACTCTCGGTGCGTTCTAGATCCAGTGAAAAATCCTCAACATCAAGACGGTTTCATTGAACATCACCGCTGGAAGTAATCCGAGGAATTATCCCCGCCGAACGACTTTGATAGCACCAACAATTAACGCGTCCCTCACAACGTTCATCCTTGGCGCGGAGAGCAATTCGCTCCGACACCCGGCAAAAAGCGAATCACTTGCAGTGTGCTGCCATCTATCAACGAACGTAAAAATCAAGCGGCACAGCGTTGGCCAAGGTTTGGGACATGGTTTGGAAGAACAAATCGCGAGCTTGCACTACAATGTAGGTGTTCTGTGGCACTACTTTCCACGTACAATGTTATGGGATCCATGCACTACAAAAGCAGTGACGAATGCTATCCGCACGTAAAACAAGGTGACTTCGAACTGCAAAGGTTAGACGCGTTAACATTTAACTATCCAAGGTGGCTGCGGAAAATCTCGCGAAGCTGATATGTGTACTCTGCGGGCTAGTTTCCTTCCTCCCACGGTGCAAGAATACTTTAGGTGAGTGAACGCTGTGAAGCGAACGCTTGACGGGGAGGGACTGATTATGTTCTCGTTTGTGGTATGCCGATAGATGGCTCGCCGGACTGAGGACCGTGGCGGGCTGCTGGCAAATTCCGCAAAGCACACCCGGCACGTGGGCGACGGTTTCCAAGTATGAGAAAACCGGGTTATCGCGCAACAAACAAAATATGCGACACGCATAAAGTGACGCCGCGAAAGAGGGGGTGATAACGGAGGAGGTTGACAGTGCGGCGAGGGTGTTGTGGCAACGATAAATGACCGCCGCTACTTTCCCACGTACCGGGCTTTCCTACACCGAGAGGGAGGAGGGAAGCCGGTGCAAAGTTTGTAGCGCCATCTCTCGGGCTCCTTGCGAAGCAGGACATTATAAGGCACGAGATAGCCCCGGCGTTCGCTCACCTTAAGTATTCTTGCACCGTGCTTCCTCCATTGCAGGCAAATGACATAGAGTTAATACGAGTCTGTCTATTAACTCTACGATTGCAGGCTATAATCGAACGTGCCAGTTTCCAACTATTTTCCCGAAAAATTCGCGTCTCGCAGCAACGAATAAGATTTATCGTGTCACGAACGCTCCGGTATATTTACTGATGCATGAAACATAGTGGTTTGTGTTCACCGAACAAGGGCGGCGTCTGCCTACTTATCATCCTCGAGAGGACGCTCCTGAATTCTGCTAGGCGGCGCTACAGTCTATGAATATTTATGGAGCCTTCATGTGCGTGCGTCTCCGGAGACGCACACACATGAACATTGCGATATTTCACGGAGGAGTTTCAGTGCCAGAATGTTGGGCTGTTAACTTTTGTGTTTTCTTTAACAACTAAACGAACCGTGTTGCGGTAGATGCATACTCATGAAAATGGTTGGGTTGGTGCACATGATGTTTTATGGCCTACACATCGCAATATGCAGAAACAAGAAAACGTCTACTTATCAGCTCAAGATGGTGGCACCCACATGTCTTAGGTAAAGTTCCCAAGGAGCCGTCTGTAAAAAGACCTATATAACACTGTCCTCTACAATTGCCCGACAACTGTCCCAGCATACTACCCGTGCTACAGCATCACTATGCTTGGTACAAATTACAGCATATATCAACACCAACTTATCGCTGATACTCTCCCTGCGCGTGCCGTCCAAATCTACAATCGCTTCACTCGCACATGACGTATACAGTAGACTTTCACTAAATGCAAATCTGTTAAACGGAACTACTGCTTGAATGGAACTATTGCCTCTGCAATGCTTGGTTTCGGGCTTGTATTCTGCACCCATGTTCGCCTTTCAGTAAACGGAACTCCTGTTAAATGAAACATATTTTCCCGGCCCCTTAAGGTTCCGTTTACTGAGAGTCTACTGTAGCAGTTCTCACCTGCTGCTAGGCTAATCCAAATGGTAACGAGAGTACCATCAGTTCAACTGGGTTAAGTATTCGCAACTTTCACCACAGTGCACCAGTCATGTGCGCATAAGCCTAATGCGTCTGTTCGCCGGCTCAGTTCACCGCTGCGGACTTGCAAAAGTCAATAGCCAAAAACGCGCTCGGAAAGTTCGCATGATAACAGGTGTCTCGCACATTGCTGTCTGTATTCTTCAAAATCAACAATAAGACGCGTGACTAGGTAAATTGACCTAACACATAGTTTTCACGAGACATCACAGATGGGTTCCCTGCACTGGGTAGCCCAACATGCGGCTACGACACACTGTCATTCAGTCCCTGTGATCTCCCGTTCACCAGCCACGCCAATGAATAACACAAAGGAATATGAGGGGGCACCGGGCCGCAACTAACCTGATGTCACCGTTTCTTGCTCTGCGTGCTCGGATAGAGTTCACACAGCATCTCGACCAGCTGTAACCTAAAGATGGTGACCACGGTTACGCCAATGAAAAGTGCAGTGTGTATACTCGGGTGCAGAGACGTATGTTCCCCATTTGACGGGGGGTAGTCAAACCTAAGCTCCCTAAATGGCTGCGCAATCAGAATGAGGTACGCAAAATAAATCTGCCATTGCACAGCAATTGATCAAAATTTGCAACTTTGTGCAAGATGACCGAAGCGTAACTGCAGCTCATCGCCTAGGCAGCCAAGCAGCTTATTGAATAGCTCGAAAATGTTCTCCAGCGGCCATCTGGTTCACGCAAGTGAGGAAGTAATGTTGCTTCACAGACTAGGCGATCGATCGCTTAGATTCATGATCATGAATCTTGGCATTCATGTTGAAGTGAAGGCTTCCGCACATCCATGTTCCCTCGAGTCTAGATTTTAAGCTGCGAAGCGATTAAGCCGCAATTTGTGCGGCAGCCTATCAGAAAATTATCACCATTAACGCATATGTGCTCACAAGAATTGGGTAAGTTTCACAACTCACCACTGGTTTACGAAAATGAATGCAACAGTTAGCCCAAGAAAGGGCTGCGAAGCTTCAGAGACAAGCCAAAGACCCTGAGTACTTACAACGAAAAACGGGAAAAGTAACGGCTACTGCAAGAAGACCTTGACCCGATGGAAAGTCTACATCTTTGATAACGTGCATGCATGCATTTTGGTTCAGTGGCTTGCACAGTAATGCCTAATACTGTCTTCCCCAAGTTTATAAAGTTATGACGGCTTGATGAGTATGTCAGCTTTCTTGGACAAAATGCCTCCAGGCACCGCGTATCCTCTCATCTGACAATTGGGGGGTTGAGCTTCTCCCCCTCCTTATCCTGCACTAATGTAACACTTGTGCAAGAGACCATGCTTGCCCTGTTTTTTCTTCCTTTCTTTTCCCCAGTTCTTGCACAAAATGCCATATGCTATAACACTTGTGCTATCTTGTGGCAAAATAAATATACTCTGAAAGTCTGCCTAAGGTTTCATGGATTTATATGAGGCCATATTGTTCTACCCACAGCTTCTGTAGCACTGTTCAAGGCAACCAGGTCGTGATAGTGTGTGATATTTAACATTATTGTTCCACAATATTTGACTATAGCTCATGCTCAGTGATAAATGGCATCCAATGTAATATGGCCAAACTTGAAAAGCCCCTTAACTAGCCTTTTCTTCGTATTTTGAGGGATTTCTTTAGGATTTGGAAGAAAATGATATAGTGACATTTCACTTTTTGAATGGTGCACATATTGTCTTTGCTGCCAAAGTAGGAACATTTGGAACAGAAGTGGGAACTCAGTGCAGAAAGAGAATTTTCTTGCTCTTACCTAGCTAGAACATGACTAGTGGAAGTGTTTCTATTGGCTGCACACTTTAGAGTAAGCGCACAAAGACACGACAATTTCTGATGACTGGGTTTTCGTTTATTTTACGATTGGGTAACTTCGTAACCTTTCATTTGTACTCCACTCACACACACTTCTTTGATGTAATGTGCAGATATGACTGGCATGTCATGCTATTTCCATTACACAACTCCTCTGTTGCAGCAAGCCAGGCAGCATACCAGAAAGAGAAATATGGTGAAAGCAATTATCAGAGGGAGAAAAAAAAACTATCAATTTCAACACTTGAAGGAGGAATCAACCTAAAAATCCATTGCAATGCATTTCTAAACATGGTTAGTATTCATATCTGTAACTGAATGCATATAGAATACCCATCTATTTGTACAGTATGTACAAACTATAATGCACGAACACTCGTACAATAGGTGAAAATGTACAGCCCGCAAGCGAACTGTCGTGCTTATTGACGAAGCATTGCAATAGCATATATAGACTACAGCAAGTGCATCGCTTGAACAAATAGTAGACATAAATACAGGGATGTCAAAACAACGAACTACAGTAGATAAAAGGAGACTGTCTCAAGTATGAGTCAAACCCACTGAAAAACTTTTGCCTACTGATCTTACAAAAATTTGGCATCAAGATACACTAGGAGCTGTGCCTGTACATTTCGTTACATTATACACTGTGCTCAAATCCTCCTGTCTGCAGTTGCACAAAAACAATACGACTGAAGCTCAAGCACATGACAGCAGATAAGTTGTCTACAGATGACTGAAAATTTCACACTACAGAGTTACAAGCAGAAAGTACCCCTTACATGAGATAAATCGCTGTTAAACAAGTCTATGAAGAGACCTAATAGCAAGCAAAAATTTTTTTAAACTTCGTACACAGAGCACAAAAAAATGGCACAAGTGCATGACAATGACAGCTCTTAGATGCGTCACACAATACTGACGCATCCATTGCTATGAACAGCTGCACAAGGTTACGTCGCTACACTGAAGCTCATAATGTATTGACTAGAATATGCAAAAGTTTTGTTTAAAATCCTAGAGGAACATCAAGTGCTTACTCCATATCAACAGTAAGCAAGCACCAAGTGTTGCCTTCTTTTCACAGGGACCATAAATATAGTAGCTACATAAGCTGCTTATGACAATAAAACCTAGCAATGCCTTAAAGTTATATAATACACAATTAATGATCTTAACAATGTCAGACATAACTATTACGATGATACAGATGTGACACCACTCATCAAAAACACCGCAAAAATGAGGATGTGTGAAATATTGAAGTGACCAATCCACACACATCTCCAATAAATACCGTTGCCCCAGAATACCCTTAGTAATCTGCAGCAGATGTCCCCAAGAAAAGAAACAAACATGATATGGCCACTTTCCATTTCTTGCTTATTTGTAAGGAAAAGATTTAATTGCAGCCAAACAAACAAATGAGAAGTTTTTCAAGCTGGCAGCAAATGATGGTGGCTCTTCACTCGCCTGCAAGGGAGTGAAAAGCCAGTCTGTACAAGCACATTTATTGTTAGCGCCATTGTTGCCCACCAAGTCAGTGCTTGGAATTGCGACCTCTTGCGAGTCCTTGTTTAATCAAAGTGTGCAAGCCTCTCACGGCAATGTGCGTAGAAATACTGCTCATCCTGTTATATTATAGCGATCCAGCAGCGATTTATTTTTACAGCTCTCTTTCAACTTTTTCTAGGCATGAAAGGTGCTGGAACTCAATAAGTTTGTGCCCCAGCTTGGCTGTACATAATGTTGTGGGATGGCGCCACCAATGTGGTTTATGCATGTAGGCCAAAATAGCAGATGGTAATTACATGTCATCCACTTGAAAGCAGCCGAATTACTAGCTCAGTGGGCCGGGTTCACTCCCAATGGCTTCGCTAGCACTGAACTCGTCAACAAAAATCAGAGTTCTTGAGGCAAAGAAATGTTGCCAATGGTGATGCTCTTCGTTAGCGAAGTCACATGTGACCCAGCCATTGTTATAATGTGTCTAAGCCTCTCCACAGCTTCCCTTCTTGTTACTAGTAGCTTGCTTTTCCAGAGCTTCATAGCTTCTCTCATGAATAACTAAAGCCTTGAAGCAACATACTGAATTTTCAACACAAGCCCCTCACAGCTACAACCTGAAGTACTTAAGAAGGCCCATCACACCCTCATTGGTACAACAGTGACATGGGGCTCCAGGTTGACTGTAGCACAAAAGCACCATCCAACAAAACCTTATCATAAATGAACATGGATGTGCACATGTGCACTATGGAGCACATGAAATTTTTTCTCGCCATAGTGCAGTCATCATGTTGACCCGGGCTTAGATGCTTTCTACTAAAACTTCAGTAAACCAACACACACCACTGCATCCGAATCTGCTGCATGAATGAGTAGGCAAGCAACACTTGCAATGAATGGACAAAGATTTATAAAACACCGCCTTCAGTGTATGCATGAGCACAACACAGCAATGAAAAGTTTTCAAAAGCAGCATCCTAATCTTTCCAGCACTTCAAGATGCATAAGCGAACTGCTCATATGCATTTCAGCCTCAAAGTAATATGTGTTTATCATACCCTATGTGGTTGTAATGAGACATTTGCTTTACAAAACAGCTGCCTATGAAAGCTGTCAGGAATTTGGCAAGAACATGCATCGTTTTTTATGTTGGTCAGTGCTGGCTAATGTTGCACTTAAATGGTTTATCACTATGTACTTCTCTACTTAAGTGGCTGGACCGAAATATTTGACGGATGTGTGACTTTTCTGCCGACAGTTTATTACTGTCAACTAGTCGGTATGATGGATGGAACGGACATACATTTGGTTTCATATCTGCTCCCAGTGCATAAAATTAGATTCCATCTCAATTGTAGTCAGGTGGTGTTCAAGCAAAACCTAGACCGAAATTCCCCATGTTTTCATTGCGCTGCACAGAGTTCATCTCCCTTCAGCATACGCTTTAAAAATGTCGAATATCCACTGACTGGCTAAGTTCTGTAACCTTTCTATTACAATGTTTTTAACTTTCTTTATTATATGATGTACATTATGCAATAGCACTTTGGATGTGCCAGTTTCTTATGAATGCAGAAAAATCAGGTTAGCGAACATAAAAGCATATATCATGTGTTGGCAAAAGAGCTCGTCAGCACGCACTCGGCAAATGAAGACTACATTGTGTGAAGCACGCAGGACCTGGTGCACTACACATAGACTGAACAGAAGCTTAAAAGCTGTGTCGTAAGCAGTATACAATAATTATATTGGTATTTCAAGGTGTTTGTAGTAATATAGAAATTCCAGCTTTGTGAAAGGAGGCAAAAAGCAAATAAGGGTTGGCACAGCTCTTACTTGTGTCCTAAGTAACTTGATGGAAATAGACTTTATATTATTTATTGGCTCTTCCAAAACTGCCAATAAAACTTGGTGAAGCACTACCTAAAGACTTCACCACACCCAAAGACATTCTCAAGCAAGCATGAGCTTCCACATGTGACCACCTGATTCAAGTAAACATTCTCTACAAGCATACCGTCCATGCGCAATGAAGCAAGCAGTCTATGACACAGGCTTCCAGCAACACCATGCACCAGACCGCTCAACTTATTGACGCAACACCTGTCCATGAGCTGCCCCAGAATGACACAATGCCTACTTGACCTGCAGCTCCTGTTCAACGGCACACCGTGGGGTGCCAGCCAGTTTGACGGGAGCAGGGATCAGGGAGCGTGTGCCTCCAGGAGTGGTGGGCGTCTTCGGCTTGTAATTGAACGGCGACACCACAGCCGATGCTGGCGATGAGCCCTTGGAGTCTGCAGTGGGCGACAAGGCTGTCGCCCCCAGCTGACTCATTGGACTGTGAAGCATGGGTGAGTGCAGTGGCTGCTGTGAAGGGGATGCTGCCGCTACAGGGCTGTTGAGCCTGAGCGCGAGAACTGTGGGTCTGCAACTCTCCTTACCAGAAGGCAGCAAGGAAGGAGAGACCACGGGACTCGCTGAGGCATCTGATATCTTCGACTGGTGCCAAACACACGCTTAGTGCTTGCGGCAAAGCCCATTACTGTCTTCGTGGAAGACTGTGATGACAAAGCCTGAGACGAGGATGGTTCCGCCAGCTTCTTCCAGAAATTAGTTGGTCGTACGGCCTTCGCAGGCTGAGCCGGAGGCACAGAAGACCGATGAAGGTTCTGTTGCTGTTGCTGAGTCAAGTTTGGCATTCTCGAGCGACCCTTTGAAGAAGACTCCAGGTCAATCTCCGATTCAATACCGACGTCTGTCAGCTTTTCGTAAGTAGAACTCCTACAGATTACAGGCTGCTGCGACTGCTTGTTTGCAGCAGAAGGACCGCTAGACTCCCCTCGTCCTGTGGTATTACAGCTGAAAAAGACATGCAAGTTTCATAAAAGTGATATCACGACAGCAGAAATAAATTGACAGCAAATTAGCCGCTCGATCTGTCCTAGGAGAAAATATATCAGCTTATACCAACACTATAACTGCAGCCACCATCACAGCATTACAGAATGCAAGGGATCAAGAGGGAAACGCTCACTTGTAAATCTGAGAAGTCCCTAAAGTTTTCATTCAATAATTTATCATTCCTAACCAGGTATTTCAGAAAACCATTCAGAGAAACGCCCGATAGTAAGCTTTCAACTGTATGCTTACCCACTAGAACATTATCTTAGCATTTCTCAAGAAGCTGAATCTAAATAAGGATACTAACATTATATTCCAAGTACAAAGTAATTTCACAAAGAGCTGACATGTAGATACTTGTGCATTACCTTTCAGATCTAGCCGTTGATTTGACACCAGGCTTTGCAGAATTAACTGCTGTGGTGGAAGCAGGTGGAGAGGAGCCCTTGCGCTTCCACAGAGATGAGAGTTTGCTTGGAACAGTGTCTTTCCTGGGTGGAGCCGGTGCTCTGCCACGGGGCATCGCTGCACTGCCAGAGCTAGACTGTGAGTTCAGACTAGCGGCACTTCCAGATTTCTGAACCTGGGCACCAGAAGCCAGAAATCCCCCACTGCTGAGACTACGTACATAAGGCCCCTTTTTGTCGTCACCGCCAGAGGCTATGTGAGCTTGGAGAGTGTGGAATTGTCCTCCTCTTTTGCACTGCACCACCGCTTGAAGATGATCGGCTGCTATTTACTGGAACACTTGGAGTCGAAGCGCTCTTTGCTGGTCCTCGCGAAGAGTGCTGAGGGCTGCTGTGAGTGCTGGATCGTCCGCTATTGGCCGCAGCACCATCCTGCACCGAAGACTTGCACTGTTTTGGATCTGTGCCCACCGTAACTGATGCTGTGGGGTCTGTGGGAGACTCCTTAGTGAAAGTACCCTGTCTAACAAGGGGTGGAGGAGCCAGAGAAGTGTCTGAACAGTCTGTTGCCGCTGTTGCCCTAGCATCTTGTTCCAAACTCTTCGGCCGCCCAATAGGCCTGTGAACCTGCGAATTCCCTGCACTTGTTGTAATAGTCTTTGTCAGGACTCGAGGTGTTCGAAGTCCTGGCCTTTCGCTCAATGTCTTACCGGGTGAGCTGGGAGCAGTACGCACGAACCGCTGTGGAGATGTGCTCTTCACTTGCCGTGATCCCTCAGACGAGGACCTCTGATTTTGTGAAGCTCTAAGCGCTGAGGCCTTAGTATGCTTGATAGGGGAAGGGTTTGGGGATATGGACTGCTTTGGTGAACCAGTACGTTTGGCACCAACCTTTGAAGGAAGTGATTCTCGCCTGCGGACGACCGGTGGAGATGCACTGGCTCTTTCCTGCTCCTTCTTGTCCTGTAATTGCCGAATTGTCTCCCTGTTTATTGGCTTCACTATTCGTGGCCCTCGGGATGAGGGGGGCCTCAACAGGGATTCTGCATTCTCCTGCAACTCTGGCTGGGCAGCATCATCTGTGTTCTCTCGGTCAGAATCATTAGATATCAGCGAGAAGGTCTCATCATCAATTGCATTGTCATCTTTTCTTTGGCAAAAAACGTCATAGAACCTCTCCCTAGCTTGTTTCACTGGCATTCCAAGCAAAGATGGTGGGCCGACGTCAACAGCTGGGCATTGGACTCTTTTTGATGGGCTGCTGCGGCTAAGAGAAGAACTATGATGAGCCGGTGATGAAAAGTGTTCATCAGATTCCAAGGGTTCTATGTCTGCTGATGTGCTGGCCAGATTTTCTGTGCTATCTCCAAACTGCTCTTCCTTCTGCAACGAGGAGACGGCTGGAAGTCGCAGTGTCTCCGTTGTGGACGTCAGCGGAACATCATCATCGTGCATCAGGTCACCATCGAATTCGACATCAGATGCAAACCCATCAGAACCCATTTCTGTCATGTCTTCGAATGTCACTTCATTCATATCCTGGTAGACTGAGGGAGGTTGCACATGTTCAAGCATTTCTGAAGTACCACTACTGCTCTTCATGCTGCCATTTACAAGTGAGTTTAGCTCACGGGAGTATACTTGTGCCATGTTGGCAGCTGCATTTAGTCGCTCTGACATGTCACTGCCCCTCTTAGACATCCTTCTTGAAGTGGGTTCCGGCACAAGTGGACTGGACTGACTGTTTAAGTCATCGTCACTAGGTATGCTGTTAAGGCTCATACAGCTGCCACTCATTGAGAGGTCATCCATCGTGGAAGGTGGGTTGACGTTGTTAAGATCGTCGGACTGACCGCTTCTGCTGCGAATGCTAAGGTTCTCGATTGAACCCATGGCGGAAGGTGGTCCGACATAATCTAGGAGGTCACAATCGCTGAAAGGTGACTCCATCGATGCTCCCAGGGCGCGCCGCACAGTCTCTGGTACACGGCCACGCTTTGGCGCCTTCCCACACTTTCCGTTCGATGAGACATCCTCAGAAAGGCCGCTGCTCGTCATGCTCATGGACAGAAGGTCTCCCATGACAGATGGAGGCTTCGCACCTTCTAGGTCGGACATCAAGCTTGTCGTACTTTGCATCATTACATCCTCGATGTCAGGTCTCACTGACCTAGCCTCAAGGGCTGCATTCCCAGCATTTAATGTTATAGCTGGCACTTCCTCATCAAAGAGCCTTGCAACCATTCCATTCATGACAGGCTGAACATGCTGTGTCAATGGGGGCGCTTTCAGTGTTGATGAGCTCGTACTCGATGATGACGGAAGGCTTGTGCACCTAGATTCTGCAGAACTTGGCATCTCCGAATCATCATCAATTAGTTTAGCAGGTTGAGGCCGAAGTTTTTCTTGAGCCCGCTCATCTTTTTTTCCCTTCTCTTCGGAAGTGTTTTTGTCATTCTGGGTAAGAGAGCTTGCCATGCCAAGGTTGCATTCAGTCTTTCTCGTCTTGTTTTGATAACCGAAATGCCTCTGGGGAATGCAAGAGGAATCTTTCGGTAGCTGGTTGAACCTCTCAATTTTTTCTCTGAAGGACATGGCGGGTTCGTCTGCTGCTGAAGTCCTCGAAGTCGATGGTCCTGGTTCAGAGTGGCACATGCTGTCAGATGCATGCTGGGGCTTCCCAGCATTACCTGAGAAAGCCTGTGGCAATGCAGGAGAGTTTGCATTTGTCCGGACCTTTGGAGCAGCAACAAGGCTAGGCCTCCCTGAAACAAGAGTTATTACTTTGTCAACCCATGTGCAGTAGTGATGCCCTTCATAAAAAGAGTGTCAACAAACACGGGCACTGAATGTACACCAGTTTATGCTGCTGAACTAGTCCTTCGATGCTCGAACCGGTGATTATTATAACTTTATTACATTATACAAAAGTGTTTATATAAGTCAAAAATGATGAGCAAAGCCCTAAATTTCATGCCCAAACTGCAGTACTGAAACATCAGTGTCACTGACATCAAAGACTTTGGAGTAGTTTAGCAAACTTGGACAATTTCTGTATGAAAGTATTTTAAAACATACTGGATTGAAAATGTGGATCCCACAAAAATGGTAAAATGCATCGTAACTAAGATGCATCATAACTAAATGCATCGTAACTCTTGCTAGAGGCAAACTGTTAAGACTTCTGTGGATAGTTCTAAGCTAGCCTCGCGATGCCATAAGAAACTTGTATTGTAACATTAAGCATGCTTTCATTTTCGTTTCTTCTTCAGCTAATTAAAACTTTACTCAAGGTCTGCATTCAAAGCATTAGTTAAACACACTACCATTTATTGTCACTTTGATACGTCTTATGGACACAGCGCATCATAGTATCATGATATAACAAACAAATACGCAACTTCCACGAAATCAGCAAATTGTATGTGTGGCTGAGGCTCACAGAAAAAATTGACCCGAATCTACATGTTACACTGTAGATGGTGTAGATAGAGAGAGAGAGAGAGAAAAAAAAAATTGACCCGAATCTACATGTTACACTGTAAATGTCGTCACGATAGTCTTGCGTCTGGAGAGAGTGAACAAAACGTTTATTTGATGTTCTGCGCCAGAAAATCGGTGAATGGTATTCTGCAGGCGCTGCGTTAGAGTGCCTCGAGCGTGTAGCGGAGGCGAACGAGCGCATCGAGGCACGTTAGACACAAGTGCCATCTGGCAGTTATCTTCGAAAACGAAGGCGTGCAGCCCGCGGAGAAAGATGCGCGCCAGTCTCGGAGGTGACAAGGTGTAGAATGCAAAGCGACAGGCAGGTGCCACCACCGTGACGTCGTAGCACAGCGTTGGAAACACCTTTTTGAGCATCGCGTTGCAGTGTCAGCGCAGCGCGATTAAACTCTACATTCCTTAGAGTTATTTGTGTGTGCCTCTTCTTGACAATCGCACAACTATGAACGCTAAACCTTGATCAATATTGGTGGGCGCTGCAGATGGGGTTGGCCATTTGGTGCCGTTTGAGGTATCGTTAGGGCGGACAAACAGACAAATGTAAAGACGGACAGACAGACAGACAGACAGACAGACAGACAGACAGACAGACAGACAGACCAAAATTTTTCTGTCGAAAGTCCCCAAGAAAGACTATCATCTTTAAAAGTTGCTAGACACCATTGTGTACACAGGTGGCTTACAGGCAGCAGCATGTCCTACACTGCTCTGATTATGAGAGAGAGAAGCTACCATTTGCGACACTTTTTGTGAAGTGCACATGTCAGGAGGAAGATTGAGCCCTCATTCAGCATAAATTTACCAAACAGCTGAGAAAACACAGATATCCAACAATTTTTATTCCAGTCCAACCATAGCACCTTAATGTGTAGTGTCCCTTTAAGGGTATACAAGCTTACAGGTTCTGTCAGAAGTTCATGAGTGCAGTATGTTGCAATTATTCACTTGTGTATAATGTGCAATTTATGAGGAAAATTCTGATAAAGCATGGCATACGAGTTGGATTCGAGCTCGGAACAAAAGCTGTTAAATCAACAATCTATTGTAGTATGAACCGAGTTTTTCTATTTTCCCAATCTAAATCTACACATTACTGCATGGTTACTGTTCATACTCAGTACTCACTCAAAATCTACCATGCTGTTGGATTAACCATCTTGTCAACCCTAATCGATTCAAACAGCACTTACATTTTCTCAAGTTAGTTCCATTTCCTCGCAAGGTGGAATTTTACAGTACAGAGAAACTTCAGAGATTTACAGTTTGCAGATTCAAACAACAGCTCCAAGAGAACTGCTAGCTTTATATCTGGTTTGCAGAAGTCTACAAGGTATTTAAAAAAATGTGGTGCTAAGATTTCTGTCAATAGCCGTGGCATTGAGATGGGTACCGTATTTTCCGGTTTATAAGTCGCACCCTTGTATAAGTCGCACTCCCCTCAAAATAGCAGTTTTTCTGAAAAAAGACGTATATAAGTCGCACTGGTGCATAAGTCGCACCGGTGTAGAAGACGCACTTGCTCATCCGACCACCGACATTTAAGTATCTCGTCGTGACAATGCATTGCAAAAATGCATGCTTGCGACAGCCAACGCTTTTGCACGTTTCTAGCTATCGGCAGTCACGCGTGCGAGCGCTTTTAAACACACATAAAAACAATACTTTCAGAAGTAACTTTATTATTCCGATAGCTTGGTGACGTTTATTCAAAGCCATCGAAGTCGTCTTCCTCCGAGTCGCTCATGAACAATGCAGCTACTTCTGGTTGCAGTACTGCTGGCACATCACTGTCGTCCTCCGATTCGCTCGAATCGGACTCTTCAACGTCGCCATCGGCCGCGCAGGGGATCAAACCGGCCTTGCGAAAGCCCGCCACAATGGTCTTCGCAGAAATTGACTCCCAAGCGTCACTCACCCATTTCGCCACTTCGCCAAACTCTGCGCGTCTCATGCGCCCCGTTTTTGTGAAGCTGTGTTCTCCCTCCGACATCCACGTTTCCCACGAACGTTGCAGAACTGCCTTGAAGCTGCGGTTGACAGAAATGTCAAGCGGCTGAAGCATCTTCGTCATGCCGCTGGGAATAATCCCTGGCATACAGTTCTTTGAACTGATCTTTTTCTTGACAATATCGGTGATATGTGCCCGCATACTGTCCATTACCAGCATTCCTGGCTTCACGTGGAAGAATCCGTCTGGTCGACGGGAAAAACAGCGGTCAAGCCACACACTCATCATTCCCTCGTCCATCCAACCTTTTGTGTTCGCATGAATCACCACTGTAGGAGAGAAATTATCCTTTGGCAAGGTTTTCCGCTTAAATATTAGCATGGGAGGCAGCTTTGTGCCGTTCGCGCAGCAGGCGAGCACAACGGTGAAGTGGGACTTCTCGTGGCCTGTTGTCCTCACTGTGACAGTTTTCTGGCCTTTTTCGGCGATGCTTCTCCCAAGCGGGATGTCGAATGTCAGCGGCACTTCATCCATGTTAACGATGTGGCTCGCGCTGACATTCTTCTTCGCAACTTCCTCCCCCACTTATGAGCTGAAGTTGTCCAGTTGCGCCTGAAAGTCGTCGGGCAGCTTCTGGCACACTGTCGTCCGGGCTCTCATAACCAGCTGATTCCGTCGCATAAAACGGAAACACCACGACGGACCACCATTGAATCCCGTAACATTGCTCTCCGCTGCCAGAGCCTTCGCCTTCAGGCGCAGCTGCACTGTTGACAGCCCTCTTCCTTCAGCTCGTTGTTGCAGTACCCACGTGCGCAGGCTACGCTCGAGGTCCGGCCAGCACGCCTTCTTGCCGCGGTTGGCCTTCTTTGTCGACTTCATCGTCCGGAGGACGCTGTGGGCCTTGCGCCAGTCACGGATTATTTTTTTACTGACGTCGAATTGCCTCCTTGCTTCTCTGTTCCCGTGGTTTTCGGCAAATTCAACAGCGCGCAGCTTGAACTTGGCGTCATAGCTTCGCCGACTTCGCTTTCCAAGCGGCGCCATGGTTCGCGAGGTTCTATGGCGCTACCGGCTCTATGCTACGACGCACAACACAACACACGAGACGCGCGCAGCAACAGTGACACAGCGAGTGCAATGAAGACGTTATGGCGGACGGAAGTGACGGTAAAGAAAGTGGCTCTGAAATCCAAACTTGCTTTCCATAATTTATAATTTAAAAAATACCTCTACATTTTCACCCCTCTGATTATTTTATTTGTGCAAATCTACATAGCTGCGTTATCTTTAGGGTGTTAACTTACCGTTAATCTTACTTTCTTTTTAAATGTGGTTTCTGTGCATCACAGAAGGCGGTGAAGCGCCGTAGACGCCATTTTGATGCCCGCTTGACGTAAACAGCGCCACCAAAGCCGTGGCATCCAACTCGATTTTGAATGTATATAAGTCGCATCGTTGTATAAGACGCACCCACGAAAAATTCAGAAAAAAACCGCGACTTATACACCGAAAAATACGGTATATTAGCATCGATATGAATGCATATGGGAATGACTATGGAATGCTAGTGCAGAGGAGGACTGAATCACCTGCATGCCAGGAATTCGAAATGGTAGCGGACTTTTATTTCCTGCGCCGAAGTACCGATGGGCCGCGGAAGAGGAATGCATGCGCGCGTGCGAGCTCTGGCTGACTAGGCAGGACCACGGAATCTAAACCCACATCCACAGCGGCACTGAGTGGCACGCTCAGAGCTTGCACCACAACTTTATTTGACACTTGATCCACTGTATCTCAGATGCATTAATTTCCTCTTTTCATGTTCAAATAAACTGTTGCTTTTCTCTTTCTCTCGACCCATGAAACTCTGCCAAGATAAATGATAAGGAGATTGCATAATTGTTTCTAAAGGTATAAAAATCAGATTCTTTACAATCAAGGGCAATGCATTTTAAATTTCAGGCTGTAACAGTCGGGTGTGCATTACAATTAATTACAGCAACACCTCAAGCAGAAAGCACGCACGAAATTAGCATACACAGGACGAGCGCGCGCCAACAAACGCAAGCCTGTTATGCAATCTTGCCACTGATAAAAAAAAACGCGCTAAAGGTTCGAAACTCTGAGGTCTGCCAAACAGTGTATGGTGCATATAAATGCCTTGCCGTAAGCATTCCAGACAAGGTGCGCTCAGCAGCGTAGTGGTTAACGCTGCGCGCTGAGAATCAAGAAGTTCCTGATTCGATTCTGTGCAACAGATGCCTACCTCCTGTTTTTTTTCTTTGCAATCTTTTCTTAGTATATATTTTT